TGTGGGTGCTGGGAATCGAACCCAGGTCCTCTGTAAGAGCAGTCAGTGCTCGTAGCTGCTGAGCCATCTCTCCAGCCCCTTTTTAAAAAAACTTTCTAAGAATAAAATTTGGACTTTTAAGTTGCATAGGCTGTTGTTCATTACTAATGTTTATCAATATATTCATCTGGGAATATATTTTAAATGTCTAGCTGACTGCACATTTTTCATAACCTATTGAATTAGAATACTAGTATTTGAAGTTCTTGATATACCTTCCTTAACTCCAAGGATGCAAGCCATTTGTGGAGAGGAACATTGAAACTAAAATCCAAAGACTACACAACCAGACAACTGGGCAAGGGGTTAATTCACATGTTTTATTTACATACATATAATTAATGTTCAAGAGAAAAATAAGGCATATAAAGCAGTTCTCAAAGAAAATACAGCTTGTTTACATTTTTCATGGTCAGCTGAGAGATATCATCCTGGCCTACATGAGTCTCCCTCTCTTTAAAAGTTTACGGAAAACAAGAATTTTTCAGCTCTAAAGAGCTACTTCAGAGAAGGAAAGATTTGGAGAGCATAGCTTGAGCTATTAGCATGGAAACAGGAGTATTAGGACCTCTGATGTGGATATGGATAAAGTGTGGAAATTTCAAGTCATATTACTTTTTTGATATATTCTTAAAGGTACCCCTATACTATTGTCAGATAGTGAAGAGGAAGAAATAATCATTTTGGAACCAGACAAGAATCCAAAGAAAATAAGGTAACAAATTTCTGGTTTCTTTCATATATACATAAAAAAGTAGCTATAAAATGGGATGCCTTTCAGAGTTACAGTTTAGAAGACTAGTTCCAGTGATCTGGTCCAAAAACTCAACATAGTGAGCTGTTGAATTACTTTATTTACAGAGCTCAAGTCACCAGTGCAAAACAAGAAAAAGCACCAAGTAAAAGTCAAGTGAAAAAGAGGAAAAAGAAGAGAACTGCTAATTAAAGCTAAAATGGTTGTATATTTGTATATATAACTATTAAAAGGATATTTATTCAGTGCTACAGCTCTGGGTGTTTTTTAATTCAAAAATCCATTATAAAAGCTACTGGGGTTTTAATGGCGTTTTGTTTTTTGGCATTATGTTTTGAAATAAACTTCGTGGAGAATGTTTCAGTTGTACATGTTTCCCAACCCATCTATAAGCTCACATTTGTAAAAGTTGGTAAGCAAAAATCTTCACATTTTCCTAAGAAAATGTGTGGAGCTAAATGAGTCTGAGGGTTTCCACTATACTGACAATAAACAGATTTGTTCCAGATTTGCTTGTTCTATAACCAGGTCAGAAATTTGGTTCATCTGTTTAGGCTAGTAAACACCAGAATTTGAAGGTCTGTTTCACTGATATTTCCATTTTTAGAAGGCTTCTCACCCCCACTAAATAATAAAACATAAACCAAGTTAGCTTTTGTGAGTGACATCATCAGTCTCATTTTTACCTCAAATTCACTTTCACTTACAAGGATTTCCAAATCAATTTATTCTTATTATCCTGACAGCTGGCATCATTAATACTTTAACAAAACCATTTAAAATTAGCCAAATATCTAAGACGGACACATGTACAAAAGTAAGCAATGGATAACATAATTTTGTCCTTGGCTATAACATCTACATTCAGAATGATTATGAAATTAAAAACCAAGATTGAAACTGTACAGCACGAAGTGAGTGAACTCCATTTTACACACTACACGTTTAGTGTCTCCGGAGGGTTGAGGAGAGAAACACCATGATACCTGTAAGTAGAAAAAGCACCATTTTTTAGTAAACATTCATAGGTGAAGGAGGCCACAGAGTAGTGGATGTACCAGGAACCAGAAAAAATGTTCTGCCTGATTCGACAGATGCCTGCACCCTCCCCCATCTCCTACTGGATGCAAGGAGGGGGGCATCTAACATAATTTGTTAATATCTTATGAAGGAGTCTTTGGCAGATTATAGTATCCATTAATATTTATTAAGTATCTGATTCTTACTTTGAATTTTTGTACTTTTCTCTTATTGACTGTTGGGCATGCTGTGGTGCTTTGAGGTAGGTCTGGTGAAGGTCCATGAGACAGGGCTTAAGACTTTGCAGGGTATATCCAGTCTTTTGTACCAATGATTGAGGCTAGAGAAGGGAGTAGAGAACCATGAGTTTTGTTAACACCACTGGGCACTAAACAAGGGTTCAGATGTAAGTTATGTTAAATGCTGGCAGTAATCTTTAACACCTCCATGCTTTACTTAGATTACTTTTATTTTGACTGTTTTTCCTCTGCTAGCTGCCAATAGATGGCCCCAATTCTTGGATGTGTACTTTTCAATGCACATTTACAACAAAACTTTCTACTGAACAGATACTACATTGGAACAGTTTTTCCAAGAATGTCCGGAGAACTATTAGTCGTATAGGACAACTCTAAATTAAAGTACCTGGCATTAACATTTGCTGAGGCAATTGTAATACATACCCAGCTTTGTCCTGTGACCGTGTAGAGTGCTAAATGAAAGGCAGCTCCAGCAACAAGTGACGGCAAATACTTTAGGTAGGGGTCAGCATCTATCAAACTTAATTCTCCCAAAAACTGGAATGAGAAATTATTAGAATAAGAGCTCTAGAATTCAGACTTCAGGTCCTTGCCTTCTGACTTATTTTCCCATCTTTGATACTGGCTGTGTATCAGTTCTGAGAAAATTATACCAGTCTCATCATTCACTATCTACAGTCAATTCTCATCTTGTATTTCTCCCCTTGGTAACATAACATCTCTTCTATTTGTTGAGATGTTATCTTAAAACACTACTTAGTGCTTTTCTGACATAGTCACCCTTGAGTCTCTTGTACCTATGGGTACCAAATATTCAGGTCCCTTAAATATAAAAGATATGCCATTTTCACAAAACTACACATATTCTCCTACATATTTTGAATATCTCTAAATTACTTGTAACGCCTAATATGTATTTGTTCAGAGACTAACAAAGAACATCTATATATTTAATTAATCTTCCCCGAATATTTTTAATGCCTGTTGGTTGAATTCACAAGTGTAGAGCTCACAAATCTAGAGTGCCAACTATGTTTTATCTATCTTTTCCTAACAGTAGACTTTTCTCTGTATTAATAATATTAATTGCCTTTAAATCTCTCAAGCAACGCAATACAGTGAAACCAGGGTTGCCCCTAATTACCACCTAAAAGTAACCTATATAAAATTAACTTACCATTGCTAAACTTTCAACTTTGCAGTTTGCAGGCTGCTGATGTAGAAAGTATTGGGTAAGAAACTGATTTACTGTTGGAGCAGCTAAGTCAAAAGCAAGGACCTTGAGTACCAGGTGCTCCATTCTCAGAACTTGCTTCTTGGAATAGGTGTCATCCGTGATGTACACAAACTCTGCTACTTCTGGGGGGTATATTTCTTCAAATTTTCTACAATGCAAAAAAGCTTTAAATAAATTTCTTCAAAAGAAAGGCAAGCTTCTTTGTTCTAATTCTAAAATCCTTCTAGATTATATGGACTCCAAAACCCACTTTCCACCAACTACATTTCTACTGACATTTGACCATCTTTCCTAGCTGCGATAACCAATTAAAAGGCCCATATCATCAGTAACGTCTGATGTCTCCCACATACAGTTGCAATATGGAAGACTTCCAAGATGGGAATGATGCCAGTTTACCAAGTAGCTGAGAATTAAGTCTTAGGAATGCCAGAAAGCATTTTATTATAGGAGCCACTTTGTAAACCAGTATACTAAAAATGTAGCCATTCTATGTTCATTCAAGGTACCTACAATCCAGATCCAGAAATTTTTTTTTTTAGAAAACAAGTTTCAGCCTCCTCCATTCCCCTTAGCCCCATCACAGTCTTCCCTAAAGAAGTCATTGTCTTTCCTATATAGTGTGTTAAAATGAGAGGTGGAAACCACAATTTCCTCCTCATACTAAAAAGTAGTTATGTGATGACTTTGAACCAAATGAATCAAGCTGGACTTACGAAGCTAGCAGCATAGCTGCAGTGCCCACAAGCTGAAGCTTTCCTCTCAGCACAGACATGGAAGAGAGGAATCGATCAATGTAGTTCACAGCCAAATGCAGGGTCTCATTCTGCAGCTTATATTCTTCTCCCACTTCAACTAGCCAGTCCACAAGGATGGCCCGCATACTGTTAGTGATGTCTGGCTGCTTCTTCATATAACCCACTTTAGGTTTACATTTAACCTGTGGAGAAAAAACACCATAGTGTTAAAATTACATTAGGTTATGATACCATTAATAAAGATGCTAATGATACATGCTATAGGCTTATGTGTAGAATTACAGTAACTCACTAGTAATGAATACATTTCAACATCATTCTCTCAGTTTCGTTTAGCTGTTTTTAATGAACAGAGAGCCTTACCTCCATTTCCCTGAGGTATGTGTGAATATCCTCATGGTAGTCTGGTACTTCATTAACACTCACTGGTTTTTCATCTTCCAAGACAATAGATATGTCCATAGTATGTGGTGATTCTGTATATAATATTAAAGCCAAAAAACTTTTCATGGCAAAGCACATAGAATAACTTATTCTCGTTTTAGTATTTCTGCCCACATAGTTTTAGAATGATCTTAATGACAAAAAAGAAATATATTGCTAGGATACTAAGATGACTCAGAATTACCTTAAAGTATAATTACCTTTCATGAGAGAGGAGTAGATGGTACAGTGGTTCTATTAGGACAGAGGAGTTACCCAAGTTTTGATATGCTTTTACCTTAAGAGAGATTGCAGGCCCCATGGGTTGACATATTCAAAGCATAATCAGGCAATAACTAAGATCAGGCAAATAGTTTGTAATAACAAATACTAGTAGAGTTACCAAGATTCTAATGGGCAGTTCAAATAGGCTAACTATAATCAGTAAGGTTTTTGTCTTATTTTGTTGACAGGGTCTCACTTTATAGTCCAGGCTAGAACTCTCTGTAGCCTAAGGTGGCAATACTGCCTCAGCCTCCTGAGTGCTAGGATTACAGGCATGAAGTACCATACACAGCTTTAGTTTTTATCATTTTAATTATCTTTTGGAGGTGGTGGCTCACACCTTTAATCCTCACAATCTGGAGGCAGAGGCAGGGGGATCTCGGTGAGTTACAGGCCAGCTGGGCTACCTGTCTTAAACAAAAAAACCTTTTAGGGCAAAGAATATTCCTTTTTATCCATTTCAGGGTACCCTCAGGTTAAGAAAAAGGATTGCTTAAAAATAATTTTCATACGCTCCTCCCCCATTAGTAGAACTAAAGGAGCTAGAAAGATGGCTGGCAGTAAAGTGCCTGTTGAACAAGATAAGGAACAGAGTTCAGATCCTCAGCACCTATAGAGAAGCCAGGAGTGGTAGTATGTCTGTACCCTAGCACTGGGGTGGATGAGTAGATGGATGAGAACAGGCAGATTTCTTGAGCTCGTGGCCAGTGTAGCCAACTGGTAACCTTAGGGTTTAATAAGACTCTGTCTTAAAAAACAAAATTAAGTGGAAGGGATGGGAAGATGGATTTAAGTTTGGATCCCCAAAATCCATGTAAAGTCTCATGTGGTACCTGCAACCCCAATGTTAGGTGGTAGAGACAGGCAGACCATGGGGGCTGGCTGGCTAGCCAGTGTAGCCGAACCAGTAAGCTCCAGGTTCAGTGAGAGAACCTGTTTCAAAAACCAAGTTGGAAAAGTGATCGAAGACATCCCAGGCCAGCGTCTTGCCTCTGCATGTGGCAGCACGGGCAAGATCCAGTGAACTGACTCAGTTAACAGCAGGCACTCTGCCTTCCTTGTGGGTTATGGCAAACAGCTGTGGCAGAGCTACTGAACAGCAAAAGGACACTCACTGTCATCAGAGGAGCATTCAAATTGGTTTTAAAGGAATAGCAGATATCACAATATTTAAAACTAGCCACAGCCAGGTGTGGTGGTACACACTTTTAATCCCAGCCCTTGGGAGGCAGAGGCAGGCCCATCTTTGTGAGTTCTAGGCCAGCCTGGTCTACATAGTTACACACACACACACACAACTTGTTAGTAATACTCTCAGAACTGGCATGTTAAGAACTCATAAATACAACCAAAATTTATTCCCCTAGCCAAACATTTATGAAATCAGATTAAAATAAACATTTAAGCCCTAATTAAAATTTATGTAATTGATAGCCCCGTTAGTTCAGGAGTTGGGTCTTTTGAAGGTCAGTAGGTTGAATGTTAGCTATGAAATTTGAGATGCATGACACCCTTTCCTAAGCCTGTTAGAGTAGTTTTAACTCACTGTAACGATCAGGTAAGACACTATCTTAAAATTCAAAATACTAGTACCCCAATCAAATAACTACTATTACCTCATTTTGATAAAAATTTTTTAAAGTGTACCAAGCTGGGTGTGGTGGCACAGGCCTCTATTTGGGAGGCTGAGGCAGGATTTCAGTGAGTTCCTGGCTAGCCTGGGCTAAGAAACTGTCTTAAAAAAAAAAACACACACACACACAAAAAAAACAAAAACCTTACCAAAACTACCATCCATTGGATAATCAAGAGGTACCAGTGGTTTTCTTGTTCCCGGTAAAGCAACAGCTGTATTAAAAGCCAGAACATCTTCGGTCTCCGTTCCTTTACACTGAGCTGGTCTCTTCTGAGTCTCTTCTGCTTCATCCACATGAATGGTGAAGGCAGGCTGTTTACTGTTTGCTTTCCACGGAGGTACAGCTGTGACATGCTCATCATTTATGGGGCGATCCTTAAGAGGTGCAACCTGAAGAGCAGTGATGGCTTTGAGCTTATAGAATAGAATTTTGCTTTCTTCTCCTGTGGGTCTCTGCCTTTGCTTTTATGCCCAAATACTCTACCAGAAAAATTAAACTTGATGAGACAAAGCCCAAAGAAGTTTGACTAATCAAAGATGGAAGGATGACCAATTTGTCACACGTTCCTACAAAGACTAAAGAGAACTAACTGGAATTACAAACTAACCAAGGATACAAGCAGTGTGGACTGTCAGGCCAATAGATGACAAGTTTAGGAAAAGGTACAGATTCACCACTCAGCTTCAGGGTGGAGCAAATAAGCAACTCCGACCAAAATGGCGGAATTTACGAAAGCAAAACAATCTTTTTTGATAACCTTTCCTAAGTAGAAGTAACTTCTGCAGCAGATGCTGAGGGGGAAGGGATCTGGATCCTACGGCAATGCCCGGCTTCAAATATGGAGGGAAAGGCACAGAGCCAGGCAAAGCCAACACGCGGGTTTAGTTCTTGGTGAGGCTGCGGCATCTACAGAAAGGCCTCCAGCAGCGCGCGCCTTCCGCAGGGTATGTAAGGCTGGGAATGGAACCGACTAACCGCGGCATTCCAACACTAGAAACCCAGGACCACACAGACTGCCACCGGAGCCCCTGGGAAGCAAGAGCGTGCTCAGCGGGTCTCTGCAGGTCCAGGGCCCTGCTCTCGCCGGCTCACCCTCCTACTGACCCTCGGCCCCTTTACCCGCCGCGTCTTGAGCCTCTGCTGCGGTGCGGCGCCCCGCGTGTTCCCGTCCTTCAGCGCCCTCGGCTGCAGGGCGGGCGCCGCCTTCTCCGGGTTGACATTCTCCTGGTCCTCCTGCTGCAGCGAGAGCTGGGCTGAGCCCGCCTCGCGCGCCGCCGTCCTCGCGCTGCCCAGCATCGCTGCTCCGGGCGGGATCGTCGGCGGCAGGCGTGCACGGCGCCCGCCAGGAGCGCGGCGGCGGCCGAAGCTCTGCAGGAGGTAGGAGCGGGAACCCCAGATGCCACGAGCGGCGCGCCGGCCGCCGGCTGTTCTTGCAGTTCAAGTATCCCGCGACTATTGAAATGGGCCAATGAGGGCGCCCTGAGTCCGTGACGTCACAGGGAGCGACGGGCCGCAGGGAGCCGCAGCCGGTGCGGAAGAGCCGAGCGGGTGCCTAGGGGAATGCGGCTGCGCTGGAAGGGGGCGGGGTAGGCGCCAGCCGCGGGCTCTGAGGGCTGGGAGGGGCAAGGCTCGGGTTCCCTACGGCCAGGGATCCTACCCGAGAATCCGCCCATTCTCCCTGAGGCCATCCTGCTTCCCGGGGCCCTAAGTATCATCCACACATCCTTGCGTCGTTAGGATGGAATAACTTCCGGAACACAGCCGACACGCTGCTCACCTAAGTGGCAGCCTAGTAAAGTCTTACCGTTCACGATCGTTATTCAGAGTGAGCTGGTGTTGATTGTGGATCGAACACAAGGGGACTCGTGCTCTTTACTGCTGCTCTGCATCTCCAGTATGCTTTTTCTTTTTCCTAACGATTGCAATCAATTTAAGATGCCAACTCGAGCTATTGTTGAGAACAGTGGTAAAATGATGTATTACAGGAAATTCAGTTACTGATTTTTCTGATCTCTGATTGTAGTATCCGACAAAAAAGTACACCTTGAAGTCCCAGTGACCCAAATAGATGCTGCATTTAGAAATGAAGTGTTGGCTGGGAATGATGGCACAAGTCTTCAATCCCAGGACTCGGGAGGCAGATCTTGTGAGTTCCTGGCCAGCCAGGTTTACATTATGTGACACGTCTCAAAAACAGGAGAACCTGCTACTAATATTCTACAAAACTGACACGGTATTAAAATGACTCCTAATGACTTACTACATCCACAGATTAGGGCATCTCTGAGTCCTCATCAGAGAAGCTTTTTTCAGTAACAGGCAATTATCAATTCAGTAACAGGCAATTATCACAGAGACCCACAACTGGTCAACATGCAGTGTAGAGGCTTGAGAGTGCTCAGCCTTAAATGGGACATCTATATCATACAACCGTGCCTCAGGGAACTTCACGGAAGAGAGGGCAGAAAGATTTTAAGAGCCTAACTACAAGGAAACTTTTCTAGACAGCAGGGCAATTGCACATACGAACTCAGTGCAGTTGTGGCAGTGTGCACAAGACCTGCTCAAGTTCAAGCCAGACAAAATCCCAGCATGTAGGGGGTAGGTGGGCAGGCTGTCCCAAACACAACTGTGAAGTTAATGGCATATGATAGCTGCTGGAAGAGGAAGAGTCAATTGTATTTAAGGGTGTGGCCCTTGGTAGTTGACAACACCCCAGGGCTGGTTCCACACCCAAGAGGATTTGGGCAACACAAACTAGACTGGAGGGGTGGGAGGGAGAAACCACAGAGATGGGGGTGGGGGTAGGGTGGTGGAGTGGATCTGGGAGGAGTTGGGGGAGAGGAAATATGATCAAAATACATTGTGTGGCATTCTCAAAGAATTAATTTAAAAATAAAAATTTAGGGCTGGAGAGATGGCTGAGTAGTTAAGAGCACTGGCTGCTTTTGCAGAGGACAGTGGTTTGCTTCCCAGCACCCACATGCCCAGCTAACAACCATCAGTAACTCTAGTTCCAGGAGATCTCATATCCTCTTCTGACTTCTGTGGGCATTACACAGCACAGGTGCACTTACATACATATAGGCAATACACTCATACGCATAAAAATAAAGCAAAAATAATAAAATATTAAAAACAAAATAAAAGAAATGACTGTTCATAAGAAAAATGAATGAGGTGGGTGTAGCTTTGTGGGACAGTACATACTTAGCATGCGCAAATCCCTGTATTCAATCCCCAGCAACCCTTCCCCAGAGAAAGGAATATGACTTTGTTAAAATAAAGATCTTGATTGTGCCTACTTGTTTAGTATTTAAAAATTGCACATAAAAATATGAAATTAATTTCTGTTTATTGGACATTTAATGAATATACTCTTGAAAACAAAGACAGCTTAATTTCCAATATCTTTATTTTAAAACTTTCAATATTTCCCTGAAATGAATGAATAAAGCCATAGCTTCAAAGTCATCTTTTCCTTCATATATAATAAAAGGGAATTTAGTGGATACTAGTGAGGTAAAGTCTTCACTTGTGCATATCTATAGCCAGGCAGATTACATCAAGCTAAGATTCCCTCCAGTCAAGCAAGCTCTTCTTACTTTCTTTGTCCACAATCAACAGCACTAAGCCAAGTATTTCACAAAGTCCAGCACTATCATATTTACAAGGAAGGGAGAAATCACGTGCAAATCAGTTCCAACTCCTAGAAAAGAAATAATTAGATTATTTCCACTGGTTAATGACACAGAGGAACCAGAATACAAGTATAAACTTGTCCTAGCTTCATAAAATACTAGCTCAGCCTTTTAATCACATTAGCTTCACTTGAAGAGTTGACAAACTTATGAAACAGTTATAAAGATCAAGTAAGGGAGACTGGAGAGATGGCTCAGCAGCTAAAAACATTGACTGCTCTTTCAGAGGACCAGGGTTTGATTCCCAGTACCCACATGGCAGCTAACAATCGTCTATAACTCCAGTTCCAAGGGATCTGCTGCTCTCTTCTGACCTCTGTAGACATTGCACAACATGTGTGCACTTACCTACATGCAGGCAATACACTCATAAAATAAAAACAATAAAATAATAAAGATCAAGTAAGGTAATATGTACAAGTTAAAAGTACATTATGAAATGTAATACACATGTATTTTATAAAAAAAATTGAGTGTTTTTATTTTCCAATTATTTTCAAACTGGAAATTAAAATACCACTTTTTTTGGTCTTTTTGAGACAGAGTCTTCCTGTAGCCCCAGCTGTCCTAGAACTCACTATGTAGACCAGGCTGGCTTTGAACTCACAGAGATGGGCCTCCCTCTGCCTCCCAAGTGCTGGGATTAAAGGCATGCACCTCCACACCCAGCCTAAAATTTATTAATAACTTTTATACTCACTCCACTTATGTTTGTTTGTTGGGATTTTATTTAGTTGCTTTAATTTTATGTGTATGCATGTCTGCATGTATGGAAGTGCCCCTGTGTTGTGCAATGCCCATGGAGGTGAGAAGAGGGTGTTGGATGTCCTGGAACTAGGGTTATGGATGGTTGTTAGCTACTACATGTGAGCTGGAAACAAAACCAGGTCCTCTGCAAGAGCAGTCTCTGAGCCATCTTTCCAAACACTGTTTGGACTTTTGAGAGAGGGTCTCCTGCTGTAGCCCAGGCTGGCCTGGAACTTATTCTGTGGCACAGGCTGGCCTGGAACTTAGAATCCTCCTTCTTCAGCCTTCCTGAGGGTTGAGATTACAGGCATGAGCCACCACACCCAGCTACACTTGTGTCATTTATTTATTTGTTTCTTAATTAGACAGGGTCTCCCTGTAGGCCCAGATGGCCTGTAACTCACTATGTAGACCAGGCTGGCCACGAACTCACAGAATGTTGGGATCAAAGGCATGCACCACTTGTGTTTTAAAAATAAAAAATTTTCTTCACTTTTGAACAGTTCCAAGAAACAGAAGCTTCACTTAAAGTCATTATATTACAAATACTTTATTAAAAGAGTGATGCTTTAATTTCTTTGGCTAAACAGACTGCTTTGTTAGGGCCCTTACCTTGTTTATCTTTCAAACTGCATCAAAGAAAGAAATCAATGCATTTTGGTCATAGCTGTCAAGAATCTCCAATAGAAGAGGTACTTTTGTTTTTACATTAGTACCTTTGAACTTAAATTTATCTATGAAGAGATCAGTAATCATACCTATAAAGAAAAATGTTATTTCCTGTCATAGATTAATTCTTTCAATAGACAGTATTCCATTTATAAGCACCTGGAATTTCATTATTCAACACACAAAACCCTGAAAGGCTTGTTGCTTTAAAAAAAATGTTTACTTGGGGAAGAATTTAAGACAACTTTAAGACATAAATATTTAATAACCTTCCTAACGACTGGTTACAGCTATTCACACAATCAACTGCTAGCCATTTTTAAATACTATCTGTACATGTGGCATATGTACAGTGGTTATTGTTCCATCAAGCAGTTTTGTCTAAATGAAAATATTCCACCTCTCTATTGACCATTCTCAAGATGTGACTTGAAAGCCAAAGCCCTAGACTTATAGGTCTGGACAAATTATTTTACTTTTAGGTTTCTCCGGTTGTAAAATAATGTAAATTATTATTCAAGATGTCAATACTTTACCCAAAACCCTTGAGGAAGGCATATTTTAGAAATAGGAAAAGGAGAAAAGGAATATACCATGTGTGTTATTAACCTACGGGACTCAGTAGGAATATGTGATAACAAAAAATGGGAATACTTTTACAATAAAAAATGTATGTATAAATGAATATTTACACAAAGTGGAATGAAAAATTTAGAAATAACCTCATATCAGTTTAAGCTAGATTTTTATTATGAAATCAATCAAATTAAGTCAGATTTTGCTACCACATGATTAACAACAAAAAACCTTTGGTTTTCTGGATTTGGGAATCACTAATAAGAGATCATGGATCTGCAACACTGACTCTTGGCACTCTGAGAGGTCAGGAAAGGCCATAGGTGAAAGTGAAGCTTCAGTTACAGCAAAGACCCCAGAATTGAAGGGGTCATGGAGAGAAACTGAGACTTTGCACCCCAAGAGGCAAGAAGAGGCCATTGGTGAATGTGTAGCCTCAGTTTCAGTGGCGACCCCAGCGTTTTGGAGATGCCGGGACCATGGGACGACCACCAAGGACAGTGGCAGGTGTGGAATGGAGCTGGCCTGGGTCTGCGAGATGAGCTGAGTGTGCTGTGGACTGCAGAGTCAGAGCAGTGGAGCTGCCAGAACCCTTTGGAGCCAGAAGATCGTGAGTGAATCCCAGATGTCCAGCCTTGAGCTACTTTGCTGGACTTTGGTTTTGCTTAGGTGTGCCCGATTCTTCC